TAATCTCGGGACCGTCGGTTACACCCGGTAATCTCGGGACCGACGGTTACACCCGATAATCACGCTGCTGACAGTAGCTCACATCGGCCCCCACCGAGCTTCCCGGTAGGTCGGACCTCGGCCAGGTTCACCTCGGCCCTCATACTTAGCATCTGTCAACGCTAGTGGTGGTGATCTCGGCGATCCGAGCTGGGGCATGACTCATGGGTCACCTTGGGGCACCAATGGCTGTCCTCCACGTGTCCTGGGTATTATTTCCCCCAAACAAAAATGGTATGTCTCTCCATCACTTCAATTTTCTTCCATACCCACAAAATTAATTTTCAAGGGACTCTGAATAATTTATCTTAAAAAACACATTGATTGGGAGAAATATAATCTCTTCATTAAGTTTTTGTTCTCCAATCTACTTATTTTCTTTCAGCTCTTCTTCCTTCTAATTTTATCCTTACTTCTCCCTTTAGCCCAAGGTTTGAGACTAACATCACTTGCACGTGATTATCGACGTCGAGAACCCGATCATCCATGGCCAGGACCTAGGCACGGTGGTTACACACATCCAAAGTCACTACAACCATGATAATCCCTTGGCACTAGAAATAGCAACTGTTTCAATAGATCTATATATGTAAAAGTTGGACGCTGTAATGTTTTCTACAGTTTCAATTTCAATCTCAGTTAAGTGAATTTGAGAGTTGGAGATTTGGGGTTTGGAATCAGTCTTAATAAAATCATAGCACTAGAAGCGTCACTTAAAAGTTTTAGATTTTAATAGTCACTCTATTGTTTTAATTTTATAAGGTATACCTAAAACAATAAATAAACCCTGCATAAATACAGTAGGAATAATTTAAGGAAAATATAGAGAATCTATCTCTATGGTTGACCACTCTTGAAAAATTGACTGCATATTCGTTTTTAAAATAAATTATATATTTTGATGTCATTCTCTTTCTTACTTGACAAACATTTAATAGTGATATACACAAGATAGGTCGTTAGCTATGACATGTGCATTTTCCATATTGTTTAAAAGCTGGTTAGGCAGTTAAGGGTACATTTGTTTGGCCGGTAATCAAAAAACAGAAATTTGAAAACAAAGAAATCAATGAAAACTAGAGTTATTCTTTGTTTGAAGTGTTTACAGATATGTGTTTGATAGCATAGTAATTGAATATCAATTTTAAAAGTTGTTTAATGCGTATTTAGTAATATTTTTGTAAACTAACACAATTTACCAACTAAATATTTAGTTTAATCTAAGTTATTTTAATTAATTTATTAACACTTTTTATGAATTTTGTATAATTATTTTTTTACAAGGTTATATAATTTAGAATATATTATATTTTACATGTTTAAATTTTACGAACATAAAATGAGTTTATAATATGAAATAATATATTTATCAAAGTTGTATCATTTTTAATGTAATTCTTCCTCTTAAAATTTTCAAATTCTAAATCTAAAAACATAAAAAAAGTCGTTTCCAGAATTTCTACAGTTTGGATCACAGAATTCGAAAACAATTTTAAATGTACCAACAATTGCCAAATCGAGCATAGCTTAAATGGTTAAGACACGTATCTCTAGTTCAAATCTCCACCCCGCATGTTGTACTAAAAAAAATAAAATGTACCAATAATTTTTAAAGACATTTCTTAATTTTTAAATGATAAAAAAGTTTGATTTCTAGTCAAAGTAAAGCATAACATAGAATATATCAGCAATCATATAAGATATATTAATAGTTTATCAGCATTTAAATTAGGTAATCAATGATGTATAAAAATTAGGCCTATTCAATGATAAATTAGCACACCCCTTCAGCGGTGAATGCCACCCCTCCAGCCCCTCAATCGACGGCTACAGCTTCAGCGGTTCCTCCGTCGTGGCACATTCCACCGGAAAATTTCACGAAATTAAATGTGGATGGGGCTTGCCGAATTACTCAGACTGGTCTGGGGATGCTTCTTCGTGACTACCACCATCGTATTCTGGTAGCAAAGTCCAAGGTTCTCTCCTTTCCACTCTCCCATTTGCTGGCAGAAATTATGGCGATTTTGGAAGGTATGCGCATGCTGCTCTCTATTGGTTTTCAACACCTTCAACTAGAATATGATTCTCTCTTGTCATTCAACTCATAAATGGTGGAAGATCAACTCTAGGAGATGAACTAAATTGGTTGTTGGAAATTGAAACCATTTCTCTTTCTTTCTCTTCAATTTGTTTTTCTCACATCTCTCGTGGTTCTAATAAATATGTGTACACACTTGTCAAAAATGACTTTTTGTCTGCTGCCACGTGCTTTTGGCAAAGTTCTTTTCCTTTTTGGTTATTAAACCTAACTAAGGGTCACTACCCTTCATCTATAGCCCAAGAGGCATTTTTCACTTAATCAATATCCTAACTAAGGGTGACTATCCTTCATCTATATCATCTATGTCAATAATTAAATTAAACAAGGAAAAAAAATTTTTGTCATGTTGTAAATATTCCAATTTTACACCAAATATATCAAATATGAATTAGGTTGTTAGTTGGTTCAACAACTATATTAGATCTATCTTATACAAAGTACATCAGTTGAGTATTATAAGAGGGTAAATTAAACTTTTTATGTATTATGTATGATGAATTGGTCCCAAAACTTTTCCATTTTATAAATAGATATTAGTTTTTGTCTATTTTTGTAAGGCCCTACAAATTAATTATGATTGAATAGTGATGCATAATGAGTAGTTTAGATGATGAGATTTAATTTTTGGGGCCAGATTGTTTGAATTTATTGAGTCAATCAACCACCTCGATAGATAAATCATCAAAATTTTCTAACAC